TATTCCCTGGTTGTTGTTTTTTTTTTTTATTTATTAATTATTCTAAACTAACTTTTTCTGTCTGCAGTCTCCTGCACTTCTGTGGAGGTCTACATTTTAGACCTCCATAGTTGGTAATGACCAACTCTTGTACAGAAGAATGCTCAAAACTCTGAATTGGAAAAGCAGTTACATAACTTCTTGTAATTACAGTATGAAACTTTGCATCCCCTACGACTTTTTTGAGTCCTCCTCTCACAAATTGGCTCGTTATTATTCACCATTGCTGAAAAAGAAAGGACAGAACTAATACACTGTTAACAGACTGCTTTACTGCCTTAAACTACTCAGAACAAGAAAAAATGAACAGGTTCATTAATTCTAACAGTGCTTTTGCACAAATAGAAATCTTATTTTTTATTTATTTATTTTTTAAATTAGAATTTGCACAGTAATCTTTTTAGGTCAGCCTTGATCTACAATTTTGTATCTACTTCATGATTAGAAAGCCTCTGCTAATCAAAATTTTACAAGAGGGAAGAGTTGTACTTTTTAAAATTTAGTTTAAGTAGTTCTTATTTTCTTATTCTAAGGTATATTCAAGCAGTTGGAATAAGCTGCGCTTAAAAAAAAAAAGATTAAGGCATGAGAACATTTTCCAGTGAAGTATATCATCGTTTCTAAATAAATAAGTATAAAATATTTTACCTTACCTTAAAGTCGTGTTTCAGCACAATTCTGACATGGTCTATACCTCAACTACAATAGTGCATTTGAGACATAAAGTTGAAATTAATAATCTTTGGACACTATTTTTGTAGGAAATAAAAAGGTATGTTGAAAAAGAAAAAAAAGTAGTAATATTAAAATAATATCTAACTGCAATGAACATAAATTATATCTACTAACCCACAGCATGAACCGTTCTCCTATGCTTCTTTGAAATCTTGTTCGCCTTAACTATGTGCAGAGCATTTTCTTTGAACTGCAGCTCACAAAGTCTTTCAAGAAGAACTGTTATTTCTTCAGTGATAGTATCCAGATAAGTTTCATTAATGAACTTCAGAGATGAAGAAGGATCGATAGTTCCACTTAGTATATAGAAATCCTCTCTTATTATTGTGCATAGTGTCGGTATGGAACTTTGGTAGCCATGAACGACCTTATCAAAATTCGTTTCACCACAGCTAGACAAAACACAATTCTGTAGAAGATCACGAACCATTTTACTCTGCATATTTTGATACTTTGATAAGACTTCTGATTCAGGATAAAGGAACAGAAGTTGCTGTATGCACTGAGTTTTAAGCTGCATTTGTTGTTGTGAAGCACTGGGATTTGTCTCTTCTTGACTTTGCAGTCTGTTTACTAAAAATCGTCGAAGGTGCAGTCTCACATCATCCCAGAGAGATTTCACATCCATTGTTGAATCATCCTCAATGGCATGAAGAGAAGATGTAAACTCAAAAGACATCCCACTTGGAGAACAGGGAAACGAAACACCACACTGACTAGAGAGATCCAGAAGGAAGTGAAGAATCATTTCTTCTTGATTTTGCTCATTCTTCAGCAACCTTTGCTAACAAAAGTAAATCAGACAGTATTTTAGAAATATTTTGTTAACTCTGTTAATAAAATCAACAGCTTTATGCTAGAGTACCAATTACTTCCATTGTTAATTATCTTACCAGCAAATAGAATGAAACTAATTGCTCTATAAAAAACTGAAATAACAAAGGCTGTTTTCCTATGTACTTATGCTTCAGTCCATTTCTTTGTCAATCTATTCCAATGAACTCACATTCCTCTCCCTATCATTCTTACATCCTCAACTCCGTTTTTTTTCCATCAGTTCTAATCCACAGTTCAAAGGAAAGATGAGAAAAAACACAGTTCACTAGATAAGCCTTGACAGTTGATCGGGCCTGTCTGTTCTGGTCCACACCACATCTTGGAAACAAAAGTTGTATTAAATTAACATTTGCAATTTACATGTTTTACTCATAAAACTAAGACAGTAATTTAGAGAATAAATACCGTTGCCTTTTGTGCTCTGGCTCTTTCTCTCACATCTGAGAGAAAGGCTACTGTAAACACAAAATAATATGCCCATCACCCTCTTAAAGAACTAGAAGTGAAAACTTGTGATAAACTGAACAAACTTCTCCCTGTTGCAGGCTGGCTTTGCCCAGAGCTCTAGGCCCACCAAACTTTCATTTTACAGACCAACTCTCAGTCTTCTAGCTGCCGAGAAATAACAGATCTCCCATCACAGTCAAAAGAAAAATGAATGAAATAGGTTGCATTCTTAAATCTCTGGGTTTCAGGAATCAAGCAGAAAAATTTTAGGCGAACCAAGGTGTAGAGGCCCTCTCATTTGCTCCCACACCTCCCACCACTTCCCTCCTACGTCTTCCAACAAGGAAAGGATCGTTGCAAACTGCAAAAGAATAGTTCTTGGATAATTTCTCCCTCCTATGTCCTTTATCCTAGCTATCTGACTGTATAGATGGACAAAACAACTTTCAGTGACCTTCCACCCTCAGAACTAATTAATTAGTTAATTCTATTTGCAGAGAGTTATTAGTTTTATTTCCTCTCTCATTCTGAAAAGGAGAGAAATAAATAATATTGGAGTATGGTACTACTGTAATAATTTTGAAATATAAAATATTCACTTTAACCATTTATTAATAAAATTTTAAAATTAATATTAAAAAAGACAAAATTTAGGACAAAAATTTCAGTGTTACTTTTGGATTTTTTATTAATCTTTTCAGTCACAAGAATTTTTCAGCATTGGAACTTCTATTTTTTTTCTGATGATTGAAAACTGTTGAACTCCCAGGGGAAAAAACAATAGTAAAACATTCAAATTAACATCTAGCAATTTTAGAGAAATGTAAAAAGCTCTCTTTTGAGCCCAGGAAATCTGTGATAACAGTACACAGGATAAGACTTGCACTTCACTATCTAATCTAGGCTAGTTCCAGTTATGTTAGTACATATATCCAATATTACAAAGATTTTCTTTTTAAAAATGCCATTATTTTAGGCGAATTTATTTCAGTGAAGATGTGTTCATATACATACTCAGCTTCTAATTATTTTGAACTACAAAATATCAAATAGAATGTTGGAATTTCACACAATAGAATACTCTTAGTTTTTATGAAGAATCTCTTAGTGTTTCCATGAGTTTACAAATTCTTGAGAATATCACACTAATAAAAAACCTAAATACAGCTAATTAGCCACTGCATAAATGGAACTTGGCATTATTTTTAAAATATTGTTCCAGCAGCTTAAAAGTTAAACGAAATTCCTAACAAAACACACATACGGGAAGGGGTGTAAGAATAAATAGAAATACTGTCCTGAGGCAAAAGGAAGGCTAATCTTAGAGGATATATTGTATGATGTTACTTAATTTGTCGCTTGCAAGCTTTTATTTAAGTTAACTGAGTAATTAATTCAATGGATGGAAACACTCAGTTAAGAAAGGTCAAACTGTAATAATCTCATTAATTCTGAATACTACTGCAAACAGTTTAATGCACGTGTTTATGGACCTAAGGGTTATCTACTGTGAGTCTAACTCCTTACAGAAGGACTACTTATGCTAATATATACACACTTTTCATCCGTAGTCCCATCTACACAACAGGCTGGATTATCTGAGAAAGTAAGAGCCTGGAAATAGAAATGTCCCAGTTCCCAAGCTGCACTGTTTTCCTTGTGATAATCTGTGTAACATTAATGTTTCAAAGCTTCTCACACTTCACTCTCTGTTTATCAGCCTACCAGTTTAACTGACCTCTACAGCCCACAGCCAGACCAACATTAAGTCTGTAGACTCTTGGGAAGCTGAAGAACTAGAAAGCAAATTTTGTGTATGATGTAGCCAAGGTATTCCAGAGATGGAGACATTTTGGAATTTCCCAAACAAATGCCACCACCTGGTGTTCTGGTGAATGGCTTGAACAGACCTGACAGAAGGTGAACGCAGGGAGTGGACACAGGTATGTAAGCCACCATTGTCATCACCTTTCCTAAGGGTGTTACGTAAGGATCTAACTAGACTAAGAGGAGTAACAAAAAACTTTGCAAGTCAGCATGAGATTCTCTCATTTTGTCTAGATCAGGTATGACAAGTAGCAGTCCAACACTCTTGAGCAGGGTGATTATTAACAGCAACATTCAAACTGATCACCTGTGTCAGAAAGGAACTAAATCATTTCTTCAACACGTGAACATTAAAGACCTAGTATTTCTAGAACTTCATGATTTGAAAAATCTTTAATGATCTGTGGCTACAAATAATGAATTCAGTGGAATTTAAGTGATTGATAGATCAACAGCCAGTTTCATGAGTCAAAATAAACAAAGTGATTTGACGAAGTTTAAGCTTTAGCCAGAAGAAATCCCAAACGAAAAAATACTGCACTGCTTGTAACTAGATTTCCTCTACCAATACAGAGAATCTCTGCCTAGAGATATTGCAGTCCTACAATGGAACCATGACAAAGAAGCAAACCAGAATAATTCACTGGATAAGTGTCATGGTTTTACGTTTTTTGGTTTTCGGTATTCCACATCATAACACCGTGCAGTGCACTGGGAGTCAAAGTGTTAATGCTCCAATTCTGGGTACCTATCCCTATACACTTACGGAAGTCATTCATTTTCTGGTAGTTCATTGTATGGTGGGGCCTCTTGAGCTCGCAATACCTCTTCTCCTGGTGATGTTCCAAACTTTTTACCTTCAGGCCAGTCCATGATGACCTCTAGGATTCCTGGACGGCTGAGTTTCCCATCCGTGCTCATTGCGTAATCAGTGCAATCCACTTGCTCCAAGTGGCATCAGTAGCACGATGGGTGGAGGAAACCTTTCCTTTAAACATCCAGTTCAGCACTGGCAGTCGAGGTGCCAGAAGAAGCTATGTTTCAGTACCGACTACTTCAGAAGCAGCCCGAACCCCCTCATACGCGGCTAAGATCTCCTTTTCAGTTGGAGTGTAGCCCTCTTCCGACCCCCTGTACACTCAACTCGAGAATCCCAGGGGTCAGCCTCGGGTCTCTCCTGAGGCTCTTTGCCACAAACTCCAAGTGGGATCTTTCTCTCCAGCAGCAGTGTAGAGGATGTTCTTTACATCTTGTCCCGTCCATAATGGCCCTACGGCCAAGGTAAGGGCTATCTCCTGCTTAACCTGTTCAAAAGCCTGCTGCTGCTCAGGGCCCCATGTAAACTCATTCTTCATCCGTGTCACCTGATAAAGGGGGCTTACAATGAGGCTATGGCTTGGAACATGCATTCTTCAAAAGCCCACTGCACTCAGAAAAGACTGCATCTCTTTCTTATTAGTGAGTGGAGACATGGCAGTGATTTTGTCAGTCACATCTACTGGAATGTGACAATGGCCATCTTGCCACTTTATACCTAGGAACTAAATCTCCTGGGCAGGTCCTTTCACTATGCTTTCCTTAATAGCAAAACCAACTGGCAGAAGAATTTGGATTATTCGCTCTCCTTTCGTGAAGACTTCTTCTGCTGTACCACCCCACACAACGGTTTCATCAATGTACTGCAAGTGCTCAGGAGCACTGCCCTGTTCCAATACAGTCTGGATCAACCCATGGCAAATGGTTGGGCTGTGTTGTCCCTGAGGCAAATGGTTCCAAGTATACTGAACGCCCCTCCAGGTGAAAGCAAACTGTGGCTTACATTCTTTGGCCAAAGGAACGGAAAAGAAGATGTTACCAATGTCAATGGTGGCATACTCTTTGGCTGCTTTTGACTGCAGTTCATACTGGAGTTCTAACATGTCCAGCACAGCAGCCCTCAATGGGGGTATGACTCCATTCAGGCCATGATAGTCTACCATCAACCTCCATTCTCCACTGGCTTTACAGACTGGCCATAACGGGCTGTTAAAAAGTGAGTGAGTTTTGCTGATCACTCCCTGACTCTCTAGTTGATGAATCAACTTATGAATGGGGAGCAAAGAATCCCTGTTGGTGCGGTACTGCCGTCTGTGCACCGTTTTTGTAGCAATCGGTACCTGTTGCTATTTTACTCATTGCAGCCCCACAACAGATTGATCTTCTGACAGGCCAGGCAAAACAGACAGCTGCTTAACGTTGTCTGTGTCTACAGCAGCTATTCCAAAGGCCTATCTATATCACTTAGGATCCTTGAAATGCCCCCTTCTGAGGTAATCAATACCTAGTATACATGGAGCCCCTGGGCCCGTCAAAATAGGATGTTTTTGTCAGTCCTTACCAGCGAGGCTTATCTCAGCCTCCAAACACAGTCAACTCTTGAGAGCCCCCGGTCACTCCAGAAATATGGATTGATTCTGTCCCTTCATGACTCGAGAGCATCAGAGTGCACTGTGTGCGCCAGTATCCACTAGTGCCTTATATTTCTGTGGTTCTGATGTGCCAAGCCATTGAAGACACACAGTCCAATAAACTCTATTATCCCTTTTCTCCCTGACTGAGAGAGGGGCCCCTCTATTCATTACCTGTGGTAACTGGAGCAAGCGCACTGGTGATTGATCTGTTTTGTAATTCTCTCACCCGTTCTTGTAGTACAGGAGTAGCTTGTTCATGCCACTTCCTTGTGTCTTCTCCATGGTCACGTAGGTAATGCCACAAGGCAAATTGCAATGCAGTATTCCTTACTGGAGCCGGAAAGCATTTGTCTTTAACAGCTGAGATTTTTGATGGTGCATGTGAGAAGGAGGGTTCATCATCTTTAATTAGTTGGATTTGCATTAGTTTGATCAGCTGCTTCATTAGACTCTTTTGATTATCCTGATCTTCATCAAGCATTTCTGATACCACTACAGGTTTATCATGATTAATTAGTAGAGACCTTTGCTCTTACATTTCTCTCTTTCTCTCATTCAGTTGGTCCGTTATGTGTGAGATAGTGGAAATGGAAGTGTGGGTTGGGAATAGTTGTTCATAGTTTTGGAGCGTAAGAATCAATTCAAAACCTAAGAGTCTTCTCTGTTGGTCCTGGTATCTGTCTAACGTTGCTGTTAGTGTACTGGTGTATCTTTCTGGTGCTGCTGTTGTGATTTTCCACCATATATCAGGCGTTGTCCTCACTTTCTCAGGGTTGTGGTCTTGGCGTGGATGGTTAGGAATAAAGTTAGGGTCACAACATTTCCACCATGGCTATTTCCCTCAAATACTGGATACCCTTTTCAACTGTATCCCACCTTTTCATCACAGGCTTCAAGCCTTCTTTGAAGGGATGCCATTCCTTCTCGGCTATTAACACTTGTTCCCAGAGGGTGGCAGCCCCATCCAAATATCCACTAATCCTTCTGTCAATAGCTGGATCTCTCGCAATGGTGCCTAGTCGGCGAGCTTCATTACCATCTAGAGACAAGCTACTGGCCCCGCTGTCCCAGCAGCGAAGCTATCGGGAAACGAGAGTTTCATTCGGGCACCGTGTAAACTCCTTTCTTGAGCCTTGGATTTCAGTCATCTTCAGAGGCCAACAAGTAGTAATAGAGACTTCCTCTTCATCACTCTTTTTTGCATATCTCTTAGTTTTTCCTTTTGCCTTTCCTGATGATGGTGATTCTGAGGAGGGCTCCTCACCTGGATCACCCTCCACCTCCTCCTCCACTTCTTCTTTTTTCCATCCTAGATGCAAGGACACTCATTTCCATTTCTTGTTTTCCAAAGGGGCAACTGATATTGTTACTGGTGTCTCCTGTAATTGATCAGATTTGACTTGGAGATTTTCCCCTTTGGCTTGAACCTCAGCTTGGAAACTCTCTCTCGAGAATAGCATTATACAGGGTGCGGTAAACAGAAGCCAAACCGCAAATAAGTTGTACCTCCTTGGATTTATGTAAGCCGCATCGTCCCTGACTCAAATACTGGCTTAGTTTCTTGGGATCCCACGGGTGTTCAAGAATGAAATCCCATGACACTGTGGGTCCCCACGCTTCTGAGATTTTTCCTAAACCTCTCCATATTCCCTGCCAGTCAGCATTCTCTGGTTTTAGAAGAGACTCCTTCCACATATCATGAATGCATTGGAATACATTCAGGGAGACTGATAACATACATGCACATCAAAATGAGCATTAATTCGACATTCAAAAAACACGTGACAAACTGATAAGAAATCCTGGAAACCTGTGTGAACATTGTGTTGTTTCTAAAATTAGCTACTCCATTTGGGATGTAGTTGTTTGAAAAATTAGCCATTCCATTTGGAATGTAAACATCAAAATTCCAATCATACCACATCGCATATAAGTACTGTGCAGATGTCTCCATCAGTGCCCTTGTTTGGTTATATATGATCACAATTGCACAACAACTAATCATGACATTGACAATTGGCCAATAAGTTCCAAGTGAAATAATGGCTTTTAATCCCTTACACACTGCCCCCACGATAAAGAGTGGGTTCATCGCTGGTAGCTACTAAAAGGGGTTAAGGGGAACAAGAGGAGAAAAAAAAAAAAAAGGAAAAAGCACTGTCCAGACTAAGCAGTTCTCAAAATTTACAAATATCCCAGAACGCTGGCAGTACGCTTGAGCTTTCAAGGTCAAGTTTTTCAGCACAGAAACCTGAATTGCTGATAATGTTTCCTAACGAAGCTCTCTGAGAGCAGAGAGAGTAATTGATTCTAAAAGCTAAAAAGCAGCTAATGCCTGCATTCTCCACCAAAAACTGTCACGGAGTTAACTAGATCAATCTATGCCCGTGACAGGGGGGCAGTAGGCCCCCCCCACGGCCCCACAAAATGAGAAAGGAAAGGGAAAAGGGATAGGGAGATGGGAGCTGGGCTCAAGGAAGGAAAAAAACAGTGGCAATGACCTATGGAGGAAAACTTATTTTACTAACTGTGTTACTGGAATGCAAGATAACACAATATAATACAATATAATTGAAATTGAGACTAATAAATCAAATAAGATAGGAGAGAGAGAGTTCCTGAGACCAAGTCAAACCTGAAAAGCTTGGAACGGCTACGAAAGCACCCTCCAGCACCCACTGCCAGGCAGTAAGAGAGCGCCCCACATGGAAGGGCCAGACCCCATGACTTCCATAAGTCATGTTATAGGGATAGGTAACCGGAATTGGAGTATTAACACTTTAACTGCCAGTGCACCACATGATGTTATGATGTGGAATACTGAAAACCAAAAAACATAAAACCATGACAATAAGGTTTAGATTTATTTAGACACCTGTATATATGCATATATGTATATATCACACACATGTGGTTAACACACAAAATTGCAGTCTGCCATTTACTTAGTTATCACCCTTCACTTGTCTAGTCAATTAAATTTTCAAAATTCCTCATCTATATTCTATGATTAACTTTGCATATAAAGTTTGGATAACTTTCCACAATCATATTTTTTTTTCCCTGAAGTGAAATGGAATTTCTAGATAAGTTCAGTTGCACTTACTGGAAAAATGGGTATAGCTTCTGCATTTCAAATTAGTAAAAGTAGGTAGAAAAGTAATGATTGAATAATATGTAAAGGACAACTATCAGAAGGATAACATTCATATTGATACATGTGAAGAACAAGCCGTAACATGCCTACAGTAACTTCATATGTTTTTATCTACATGTTTTCATCTACATGGGTTTACAAAACAGGCCTAGCAGTGCCCAACATGTGGAATAATCGGTAAAAATATTTTGCCCCAAATCTGTGCAGTTAGGACATAATCAGAAGGAAACATAAGCAAATGGTACTAAACTTCATAGAAAAATTTCTGAACTATACTCACCGTAGAGAGAGACAAGAAAGAAACAACTCAAACTATAACCAACTGTCCCAAAAATTACACTACTCAGTAAAGTTTTTCTTACCAGAGTCCTAAGGAACTCCATCAGTTCTCCATGCTGTGTAGATGAAGGACGGAGAGAAACAAAATTGCAGTTGTTTAACCACTGAAGGCAGTCATTTGTGCTTTGTAGTATTTCATCAGTACATATTTCATTTACTTCTGATCTCAGATCTTTAAGACATTGTTCCATGCTAGAAAAAAAAAAATAAAAAAATAAAAAAAATAGAAAATAAAAGTGTTCTATATATTCCATATCTCAAAAGGAACAACTATTTCAAATTAACGTGTAACACTAGTCCTTCTTAACAAATTACTCTCATAAAATGAAGCTTGAAATTTCAGCATTAACCTTAAAATACATATGTGAAAAAGTTCTCAAGTAATCTTGTACTTTCTAGTAAAGAAATTGGTGAATAAGATATTGCTTAATTTGACATCTGCTCCTTGGTGCTCAATTAGCTAAAGAAACAAATATAAACTGAATCAGCTACCATATACAAAGCTGAATGTTTGATTCTAGCAATCAGTGGTTCTTTTACAGCACATAAGATACATTAACAACTTCATAAAGACCAACTGACACATCACAGCAAATGCTGAAAAGAATTTTAGAGTCACTTCTGCTGAGAAATCAGATCTCTTTCACTTGCTGTTATTAGAACAATTTGAAGGAAACAGTTTGTTTTCAAGTAGCTGATCCACACCCTAACATTCCTGTCTGTGAATTGATGTGTGGTTGATACAGTAATTACTGTGATTCCAGTTGTAAAAATCACAAGCCTTATATCTGAAAAGATTTCCTTATTATTGTTACGGGCACCTACACAGAAAGAATAAAACAGAAAAATCTAGAAACAATCACATTCTACATCATTTCCTACCAAAATACCTTTTCATTCTTTAAGATCTACTTTTCTTATATAGTAATACTTAATGTTTATTACCATTTCCATTAGAAAAAATGGTACTTCGTAGATCCATGCAGTCCTATGTTTAAAACAAACAGTACCAACACTTAAGACAGAATTTTGGTTTACTGCAATGAAAAACAATTCTCACTATAATTTTATTTGATTTTGGAGTATAGTACTTATTCATATTCTTAGAGCTGATAAAAGACATAGGAGCTGATGCAAATTAAAATTCATTTATTTATACTACCAAAGTAGTAGAAATACTACCACTAGTAAGTACTCAGATGTTTACAAATACTTTACTGCCTAATACTTCTAATCATGTTGCTTCCTATTTTCATGACATCAGCCAAACAAGAAGGCATACTGTACTGTCACTTGCCCTTTTGTTTTATATAGATAAAATATGCTTGTTCTTCTCCATATGCTCTCTTAATACTTTTATTAAATTAAAAAAGAGAAGATGAAGACGAGAAAAGGAAGATAGGAGAAGAGTAAAGATATGAAATTGAGAAACAAATCAAAGTGAATAAATAAAGACTAAAACACTAGCTTAGAGACCTTTACTTTTTGAAAACAAACACAATACAACTAATACATCTTCTTCAATTAGTAACCTGGAGTAAAGTATCGACATTTTCTTCACAATAACTTATCTGGATAGGAAGTTTCATTTTCTATACATTTATAAAAAATGAGATTCACTGTAAATATGAATAAGGAAAAAACCTCAAACGCTAATAACCCATATGAATTTGTAACAAGAGATGAAAAGTCACTTTGCTTATCACACACCGATGGCTCCAAAAGTAATGCCTCCTATTTATTCCTATTGAAACTATAACATGTACAAAGAGAACAGTAACAATGTTTGACAGAGGAAATTCTAAGCTACAAAACACTCTTTTTTAACAGTCACCGCTATTAGCTGTGCATTTTCATCAGCAATGAACAAGAGCCTGCACGTGTGCTCATAAAAATGTGCACCAATGGAGGTCATCCATGGTTATTATCATTACTGCTGAAGCACACCACCCTTGGTCTCACTATGCTCATACCTACTGTTGGGTATCCATAACTGCTCCACAAGCATCAGTGAATGTCAGTGTGGGTATCAATTTTCCTCATGGAGGAACTCAAATGACACACTTTTGCTTCATCCACACTTCCATGTCAGATGCCATTCTGTCAAAGCACTCGTCCACTGCCATCTGTCACAGGGCAACAAAATGTAATAGGATATTGGTGTAAAGGTTCAACCTCTACTGCCATACCACCAATATCTGCCTCTGATGTTGTGGGCCAACATAATGGAATAGGGAGCATTACTTTTCATAGAATCATAGAATCATAGAATCACCAAGGTTGGAAAAGACCTAAAAGATCATCCAGTCCAACCGTTCACCTATTCCCAATAGCTCCTACTAAACCATGTCCCTCAACACAACATCCAGCCTTTCCTTGAACACCCCCAGGCTCGGTGACTCCACCACCTCCCTGGGCAGTCCATTCCAGTGCCTGACCACCCTTTCTGAAAAGTAATACTTCCTCACGTCCAGCCTGAATCTCCCCTGCCGTAGCTTGAAGCCATTCCCCCTGGTCCTATCACTAATGACACGAGAGAAGAGGCCGACCCCCAGCTCACTACAAGCTCCCTTCAGGAAGTTATAGAGAGCAATGAGGTCTCCCCTGAGCCTCCTCTTCTCCAGGCTGAACAACCCCAGCTCCTTCAGCCTCTCCTCATAAGCCCTGTGCTCCAGACCCCTCACCAGCTTTGCTGCCCTTCTTTGAACCCACTCCAGGGCCTCAATATCTTTCTTGCAGTGAGGGGCCCAAAACTGGACACAGCACTCGAGGTGCAGCCTCACCAGTGCTGAATACAGGGGAAGATTTTGGAGCAGCCCTCATATTTTGTCATTTGATAGCACATGTAACACTGTTTTCAGTATGCGGAAGAAGTATTTATTTGATTTGTCTACTAGATTTTCTCCTTTATTGAGTGATTTACATTTGATTTTTTTTTTTTTTTTTACAGATATTATACAGTGTATCCTAATTTCCCAATAGTTGCCACATTCTGATCAGCAGCAAAAAAATAAATCACTAACATCCTTACTTTTGGGAACTGATTGTTAGTTTGAATTGTCATTTCTGAAAATCAGTGTAAAACAGTAAGAAAATGATCACATCAAATTATGTTCTGAGATAAACAGTAGACTGTTTTCCTTTTATGTGCAGGTTGCATAAAACAAATACAATACCATAATATATAGCAGTAGATACTGTGAACAAGCTGAGTAGATAAAATGCACTGATGGTACATACAGAATGCAATGACAATCGTAAGTACTTAAGTGCAGAATTATTAACATTTTGAAAGGGAAAAAAAGAAGTACATGTAAAGTTTCCAAAGCAATGAAAGCTGTACAACTTCTAAAAACCATTTCATCAAAATAAGCAGGACATTCGGAACAGCTTATTTTCACACATTTAATTGTATTCACTATGAATTATGGTTATAACTGTTGTATGCATAAAGATAAGACAAATGCAAGCTTATCTACTTCACTGAGATGAAGACATCGCACTTTACAGCTGCATTAGCTTCAGAAACCAAATTCTGTAAATAAAGAGATGGTAATATACATTAACATTTATAAATACTCGGGTGGCCTATAGAACACCCTCCATAAGACTGAAGTGAAAATCTTTTTGAGATTTCTCTGAGCATCAGTGATGTCAAAATGAAGTGGACTGAAACAAGCACCTTCTCATGAGGACTTTATCGGGGCACTATCAGGACAAATCACTTCCACACAATCTTTCTCTGCAAGTGACCTTGTCAGGTTCCTGATAGAACAGTCCAGGCATGAGGATTAAAGTTGATAAAAGACTGGCATTTATCTTTTTCAACTAGTGAAACATGCTCCCAGGACTACAAAGCATACACTTTGACTCTGAGACACAAACAAAGGCTTTTTATTGTGCCATACTGAAGTGTCTCATTCACACCCAACAGATAGTGGCAACATGCACTGTAAAGGGCACTACTGTTGTTGGTCTCTGCAATGTTCTTTAATTAGGAACCAATATTTACATTTGTCTTTGAGAAACTGTGGACTATGAAAAGGCTACAGTCTTCACAAAGCCATACATCTTAGCAGTTTTTCTTAAGACTGATAAGGGGATTATGTGGATAAATTTCATTGAACCCTGTGGTACTAACCATGATAATTCTAATCATTTTGTTTAATCCTTCTATCTCAATAAATAGGCTGCTTGTACTAAAACTGTTTTCCACTGAGTAAAAACATTTTCATACAGTTTACTTACACCATACTGTAGCTGAACATGATCTCAAAAATATTGGTATTTCTCACTTTTAAGATTTTTGTCAAAATATAGTATTACATGAACATGATTAATTTTGTATACTTACTCCTTTAAAGCAATTAAATTATTAAATATTTAGGAATTTGGATACTTTTGAAAAAAAATACAGGTTTTATATATTATATGAGTTTAAAGCAATTAAAGCAGAAGGCTTCCTCCAAATAGGATTAAAATTATCCTCACTATACAAGACAGTATCTAAAGCTTTATGATTTACTGCCAGTGTAGAAAATGAGTCTATTTTCAAAATTTGTTGAAGTTTTTTAAAAAATAAAATACATGATCTTGATGACAAAAATGTGCTTAATGCACATTATATATTATACTCTTAAAATTACAGTTGTAAGAAGGGTACATTCAATTTTTTTTTCCAAATAATTCTTTTTCACTGAAAATTAACTAAAATTAACTTTGAATTAAAATTTAAATTTTAATCCAAATTTTATTTAAATAATCTCTGGGTTTAAAAAAAAAAAAACAGGCATAAGTCCAGATGAAATCAACTGATAATCAGTATGCAATGATAGGACCAGGAATTATCTTCATATCATGTGTGGTCAATAGAAAAAAATACAGCTATGTTTGTACTCATCCTTACCAGTATCAGGCAGACAAAATTTGGAATACAAAAGGGAAATCATTCTTTTTCCTGATTACTGTAGTTAACTATGTGTTTGCTCCATTTGTATTGTGTTGCTTGTTTTTCCAAAAGAGTTTTTCTGAAACTCTTAAATCTAGAGATATGACAAGGCATTCAGTGAATGTTTTTAGATGTCTGAGTTCCAAAGTTAAGACATTACTGAGCCCAACCAGAAACTCTTTAATTTTGCTATTGAAAACCAGCTTATTGGTACAATACTAGAAAATCTGTGTATTGTACAACA